GTCCGCATCTTGTACAGCAATTAACCACTAAGAAGAATATATGCAGTGTGTTAGTTATTGAAACTGTCCTAGCGATTTGATTTGAAACTGTCTCATTGCTATCTATTTATCAATAAAATTATGAAAAAAAATACCTCGCAGGGTACAGGCCACAGGATATATAGTGCTAGGCTTGTACCTGGAACCTCGCACGTGCTAGGTGAACGCACGGCCACTGAACCATGCGCCTGCCCTTTTGGGACAAGGGCTTGCTAAATTACCCAGGCTGGCTTTTTAAAATCTTGACCCTGCATGGGTGGAAATGCTCACGGGTTGTTTCCAGCCAACCCTGCTCTCCTGAAACCGTCCACTTCAGCAGGAATGAAAGGGTTGCTAATATTTCGGTGCTCCAGCGCTCATTTATTATTCTCACGAACAGATCTCTGGTGCTGCGGATCAGCGAGCCTCTGGGCTGTGTCTCTTTCAGTGCTAACCAGCCAGCCCTGGAGAGCGATTCCTGGTCAGGACCTCAGAGGTCAGCCAGCCCTGCCCACTGCCATGCAGAAGCAGTGCAGATGGGCCCTTCACGTCCTTGCGCACAAGCCTCCCGGCAGGTGGCACACCCCTACCAGTGGAACGCTGTCCCGGCACGCTGAGGTAGAACAAGGAAGACGGAGAAAACAAAGGAAAAGCGTACTTCAGCTTGTACTTTCAAGAAGACTGCAGCTTCGGGACACAACAGAAGCGACTAAGGGTTATAACGCTTTTCTCCCTTCCAGGAAACTCACTCCCAAAGTTCCTAACAGCCTTAAAGATAGATCAGCCTGTAAGCTGGGCCTATGCTTTGCGCCCATAGCTCCGTAAATCCTACACCTCGATCCTCAAAGAAGCAGCGCTGCTTAATGGGCAGCACATCCCTAAGCTTCGAACACATCCAAATGGTTGTGCTCTAACCTAGCCACCAAGGAGGGGCTGACACAGGGACACACCTAGATCAGTCGTGTAGAGGACACCCCCAAGACCATATAAATAAAAAACCCCAACCCCAGGGCCAGAGAGATAGCTCAGTGGACTAAAGTGCCTGCTTAGGCAAGCACAGGGATGGGGGTTTGATCCCCGGCACCACATGCCTCACCAGCCCCATCCCCGAGGCATGATTGAGACTGGGTGTGGGGCCACGCTCCTGTAATCCCAGCACTTGGGAGGCCGAAAACAGGAGGATCACTACGAGTCCCATCTGCGTAGTGAGATCCTGTAGGCCTTGTACTAAATATATAAAACTAAATAAAATAAAAATTTTCAAAAGGAGAGAACACAGTGGCAAGGAGGTTAATGATGGCAATCTTCTTTATCCTCTACTCTTGTGGAGGAACACTTGAGCAGCTCTCCTTGAAAGAAGAGCAACTGTCTCCATTTTGACTGAGCCTAACCCTACTTCCTCATATTGTTCTTCACAGAGCTGGCTAGGACTTCCGTTTATCCTTCAATCGGCCTTAAGCAATGTACATTGGTCTAGCTGAGGTGCAGGTGATAGTCTTTGAAGGTGGCCTGCATGTTTCCCTGGTAACCTATACCTGCTGCTCTTTAATGTGAGCCGGGTGAGACAGGACGGTAGAGCTAATGCTCTGCGCCACCAGCTGGGATCAAGCCTTGAGATAGAGGCCATGACTTCCTGGGGCTTGAAAGGCTACATCAGAGCTGAAGCACCAGACTAAGCAAAACATTAGATACTATATAATGCAGATCACTCTCTCTGCATATCAGCAGAAGTAAGTTTAGGTGACCCACCTAGCTCAGCTCACAGTCCTCACCTACTTCCCACAATTCTCAGTCAATCCTTCGCAACCCATTCCTCCACTGAATAAAACTGGGTGAGGTCCTGGGTCAGCTTCTTTGTTCCAAAAAGCCATCTTCATGGCCCCTTGGCTTGACTTAGGGCCCCTTGGCTCCCCAATAATTATAAATATGTTTTAGGGTCTTTACTTTCACTGTGGATTGCACTGGGAGTGGTAGATTGGAATTCACTTGGTGAGATTCCAATAATGTATCTTTGGGATTACAAATATTAACATCTTAGACCAAGAGGAGAACCAGGAAGGGACTCCTACACACTCTGACATCAGATCTAGGCCATCCTATAAAAAACCTGCTTGATTTTACTCCTGTGGAAGTGAACACAGCATTTGCTGATTAGTCCCAGGTGCAGGGTTTGTACACATGCGCACTGGATTTCCATGACTGACAGGTCACACTCACTCAACCAGTTGGCCATACCCTAATCGCCTGCCTCAGTCTGAGACAACTATAACAAAGCATGAGTGCCAGCCCAAGGGGATGTCACCTTGCCCTCATCTTCTGTGTGCCTGGAACCATCAGCAGAGGGCACGTTGTCTCCTGTGACAGTGAAAGGTAACCCAACAGGGGACCTGCCCCGTTCTGGTGAAGTCCAAACTTGGACTCATTTTGAGCTAGAGAAATTTCAAGAAGTGGTGGAGAGGAAGCAACATCTCCTGGTTTTTTGTGTATATTCAGAGCTAATCTCTAAGCTGACCAGAGGGCACAAAACACTTGCAGAGCACCCACCCTGCCCCACAACCACCCTCAACCTGGTGGCCTGACTCAGTATCCCTTCCCTGCAGGAGTCGGTGAAGGAGGCAGGGAGCTTGGGATGGGCAAAGTGAAGGAAGCCATGAAAAGACACATAAGAAATGGGGATGCCATTGCCTGTGATGTGGGGGCCGACTTTGCCATCATCACTGGTGAGTACCTGGGTGGCTACCCAGTGGGACCCTGTCACCCAGGATGGGGAACCTGGAGTAGAGTCTGAGCACTCTAGAGCATGTATGAAACAGGATCCAGAGGGCACCGGGGCACAAACACGGTTCTAAGCCTCTGACCACTCACTCATTTGATCATTCAACAAGCATTTATTGTGTGCCAGTCACTGTTCTGGGCACTGGAGTTGTAGCAGAGACAACTGCTCCACAGATCTTCCGCTCTACCCTCAGGAGATAATGAGCTCTGGCAAATATAGACACAGAGTGTGCTGTGATAAGACCCAGGACAAGGAGGTAAAGGAGAGTGACAGGCGGTCCATCAGGATCAGCAGTCAAAAGTCCTCTCTCCACTTTCACCTGTACCTAAGGCATAGTGGATGGGCACTCCACGCAATGTTCAGAGACGCAGGAGGACCCATACTGCTCTTCCTAAGAGCCTCTGCCTCAGGCTTCCCTGCTGCCCTTCCCCAGGAAGACCAGTCTTTCCTGTCTCCAGGTCCTTCAAGACCTGCCCCTTCTTCCCCCTCACCACAAGTTTCAGGAACGTGGAGACACCTGACATAGGATCTCTCCCTCCACAAGCTCAAAATCAGTGTGGATGACAGCTAAGCATCCTGGGAAACCATGGCCAGGGTAGCAAGACCTGAGCCACAGTTGAGGAATTGCTGGAGGATCTGTGCAGATGAACCTTGGAGCTAAAAAACGCCAGCGCATGCGGGATGGGAGCTCCGACGCTCTCGGGAGGTTTACCCCTGAGACATCAACCATGCTCTCGCAGTGGTATCAGAAGACAACCCCCCTTGATTCCCTCGGGGGAGAGGAAAAGGAACTATTCTGAAATACACAATGACGTTCTGTTCTTAACATCTGACCTCCAAAGACACTGTCTTACCACAACCTGCTGGGTTTTCATCAGAACAAACCTGCCTGAGAGGAGGACAGTGCGCAACGCCAGCCTCTGTGGTTTCTCTGCTCCGACCAAGGGCAATGCTGAGAAGCGCTGGGAAAAGTCACAGCACAGGGGCGCAGGATCACTGCTACAGTTCGAATATGGTTTATCTCCTCTAAACTCATGAAGAAATGAATCCCCAAAGTGCTACCATTTCATGTTAAAGGTATTAAGAGACTAGAAACTTAATTCAACTATGGTGCCAGGGTGTCAGAATTCCTAAGGAAAACACTGATCAATCTGCAAAGAAAACAGAGCAGTATTTTCTAGGTGAACACTGTGACAACCATGTATCAAAAGTGAACAGACACACCTGTCATCCCAGCACTCGGAAGGCAGAGGCAAGGAGGATGGTTGTGAGTTCAAGACCAGCCTGTGCTACAAAATGGGCTCAAGGCCAGCCTGAACTGCAGAGCGAAACCCTTTCTCAAAAAGACAAGAAAAAGGAAAAGGAAAAACACTTCTAAATAACACCTGTATCAAAGAAAAATCTAGAGAGAAATTTAAAAGTACTTTGAAGGGGCTAGCGAGATAGCTCAGCAGACTAAATGCTTGCTTTGGCAAGTGCAGGGACCAAGGCTTAATCCCTGGTCCCGCATGTCACACCAGCCCTGCCCCAGGGTGCGCTGAGCACGTAAGTGCCTGTAATCCCAGCACCGGGGGAAGCCTGAAAACAGAAGGATCACTACGAGTCTGAGCTGCGTAAAAGAAAAGTACTTTCAGGGCTGGGGAGATAGCTCAGTGGCATAAGCATCTGCCTGGCAAGCGCAAAGACCTGAGTTTGATCCCTGATACCAATAAATTAAACAAGCAAACCCTGACCTCTCCTGCCCTCTGTCCTTCCACATGACACCACGCCCCTTCCCTCCACAGGAGGAGCAGCAGGGAGCCCTCTCCGAGCTTCTGGAGCAGACTTCCCACAGCCTGACAGCACCTTGGCCTTGACTCTCAGCCTTCAGAATGGTGAGAAAGAAGTTTCCATTGTGTATCAAACATGTTTTGAACCAAATGAAAATGCAGTTTCCCAAAATCTGAAAGCTGAGCCTACAGGGAAATTTACAGCACTGACTCAGGAAAAGAAAAAATTCTAAAATCAATCATTTAAGAAAAGCTAGTGTTGGAACAACTGGACATTGACAAATGAAAACATGACTATAGATACAGGCCTTGAATTCTTCCCAAAAATGAATGCAAAATGGGTCACAGACCTGAATGTAAAATGCAAAACTGAAATTTCTGACTTAAAAGAAAATCTAGATGACATTGGATGTAATCATGACCTTTAAGATACTATTCCAAAACCACAATCTATGAAAGAAACAATTGATAAGCTGGGTTTTATTAAAATCCAAAACATCTACTTGAAAAAATACAGTGTCAAATGACCAAGGACATAAGCCTCAGACTGCCAGAAAATACTTGTGAAAAATAGATCTGGTAAAAGACTATTATTGTTATTATTATTTTGGGGGGGAGTTGCCAGGAATTGAACTCAGAACCTTATGCTGCACTGCTGAGCTATATCCCTGGTTCTGTTATCTAAAATATATAAAGATGGGGCTGAGGAGATAGCTCAGTAGAATAAGTACTTGCCTGGCAAGCGCAGGGTCCTGAGTTCAATCTCCCAGTGTACCACAAAAAAATAAAATAAAATGAAAAAATAAATAAACAAAATAAAATATATAAAGAACTCTTAAAACTAAATAAGAAGACAAACAACAAATTAATGAATGGGCAAGAGACCTGCATGTCTCACCAAGGAGCATAATGCAATTTCCCACCCAGTCTGTTAGCCATGAATTTCTATAACACCCTGAAGAATGGAGTTCAGGAGCTTCTGGTCATGGAATCTCATGTGGAGATTCCTGGAGGGTGGAGCACCCCTCCCTACGTGCCCTACATCTCCACAATGCTGTCCTGCATAACATCTCATAATAATAAAGCACTCCGTGTGTCCCAGAATCCAGACAGCTGGTCACAGGGGCCTTGGCTGATGACTAGTGAACTCACCATTTGTGACTGGCACCCCAAGTAGGACAGAGCCCTCAGCCTACGGGGTCTGATGCTGTCTCCAGTGGACAGTGTCAACTGACTTGGACTAAGATGCTTAGCTGGCTCTCTGTCCTGCAGTATGGATTATTGGTTTTCTGGCTGAGGAGGGATTCCCATACCTTCTCCATGGTCACAAAAGTATCCTGTCTTAATGGCTGTGGTGTGCAAGCAGAGGAGGAGCACTTGTTTTCCTTGTATCTGAACTATGTGTTTTAACACAATTGAAATTTTTTAATTTTTTTAAGAAATATATTTTTTAAAAAATATGTAAAAAAATAAAAATAAAAAAAATAATGAACTTTGGCTTCCGCAAAGCTGCTACCCGTTCTCTCGGACGGACGTCATCGGGCTGTCGGCCCGGGCCTTGAAGCTGCAACGGCTCCAAGTCCAAAATATGGCAACTTCGAAAGATATTACCAGGTGACTAAAGTCAATCAAAAACATCCAGAAAATTATCAAGTCTATGAAAATGGTAGCAGCAGCAAAATATACGCAAGCCGAGAGGGAGCTGAAGCTGGCTCACATGCATGGAATAGGATCTTTTGTTCTATATGAAAAAGCTGATATTAAGGACCCTGAAGACAAAGAGAAACACCTTCTCATCGTGTGTCCTCGGATCGAGGGCTTTGCGGTGCTGTTCATTCCTCAGTCGCTAAACAGATAAAGAATGAGGTGCCCACACTCACGGCAGCTGGAAAAGAGGTTATGCTGGTTGGGATTGGTGATAAAATTAGGGGCATACTTTCCAGGACTCATTCTGACCAGTTTCTGATGACAGTCAAGGGTGTGGGGGAAAAAGCCCCCTACTTTTGGGACTATATCTGTCATTGCTTTTGAATTACTCAATTCTGGATATGAATTTAATGAGGGCTCTCTCACCTTTAACTGATTCAGGTCTGTTATCTCCTATAAAACAGAAAGAAAGCCCATCTTTTCTCTTAATACCATTGCAAATGCTGAGAGCACGAGCATCTGTGATGACATTGATGCTGATGTGCTGCAGAATTACCCAGAGTACAACCTGGCCAGTATCATCTACTCCTCCCTGAAGGCATCCACCACCAGTGAGCAAAGCGCTAGGATGACGGCGACGGACAACGCCAGCAAGAACTCTGCTGAGACGATTGATAAATTGACTTTGACATCCAGTCACACTCACCAAGCCGTCATCACCAAAGAGCTGACTGAAGTCATCTCCGGTGCAGCAGCTCTGGATTAATGAAAATCAAGTTCCAACCTCACACAAGAGGTAAAGAAGGAAAATTCAGCAAGCTGATTTTGTTTAGAGCTTACTACTGTCTTTGTCAGAAGAAATGTGTTCCATTGTTTGAATTACTAAAGACAGAAAGATGTTTATAAATTATCTTACAATAAACAACTTACAATAAGAAAAACAAATACAGACTTTGGAGACAGTAGCCTGAGTCACATCCCAAGTCTACAGCTCAATAGCTGTCTGGCCTTTGGGAAGTCACTTAACCCCTTTGTGTCTGTTTTCCAGTTATTCAAATGAAAGTAATTACATACCTCACAGGACTCCAGGAACTAATCCACATAAGGCATTTAGGACAGCACTACAGATTATGAATATTTGACTAAAGTAAGTTACTCTCTTCCATTAACTGAAGATAGCATTGGAGACAAGAATTAACATTGTTTTTTTTTTTTCTATGAGCAGAATGTATTTATTGGGGGAAAGAAAGCTCCTGTCTGAGAGAGGGACAGAATGGGGGCCTGAGCGGGTAGGTCTTGGGAAGCTGTCTCTTCCAGGGACTTTTATAGAGTAAAACCATGTAATGAGGCGGGTCTAAGAGAACATGGGAACTCGCTTAGGTAGGCATGAGGTGGGACAAAACTATGGTCAACCAATGAGATTGCAAACACCATTGCTCAGGTCAAATTAATTAAATCTAATACCAAATGGGGAAGCAAGTCACGTAGCAAGCAGGCGTGAATATGGGACAGGGTCTCTTCCTGTTGG